AGTTGAAACACTGCATCCCTTTTACTAAACTTTTCGCTTGAATAGCCCCTTAAAATATTGGATGAATCAGCCGTTAGGTGCGTCTGTTCGAGATATTTTGAAAGGCCCTTTTAAACACCTAAATGACAGTTTTCCCTACCCTTTTCTATACTTCAACTCGTGAAATCCCAACCCTTTCATATACCTCAAGCCTAAATAAGGACCTCAGGTGGAGCCTCCCCGTATAGTCCATTATAGGGAGTACCCCCCACCCCCCGGATACCTACGGATCAAAAACATCAATCTGACGTGCATACAGACCAATTTCTCATGCCTAACTTATAAATCTGGACTACTACATGTAGTTCCTGAACCAAACAACATGTAAAATTTGATTCAGTTTCGACAAAAAAAATAGTCCAGACCTATTAATGACGCTACATGTACATGTCGCGTTTGAACCCTCCAAACTGTGTCCAATCATATTGTGCCACTATCTTTCCTGGAATCTTCAGAAATCTTTGGATATCTTCGGCAATGTTCGGATATTGTCTGATCACCTTTGGACATCATTGGTAACGTTCACAAATCATCGGAGCATAACTGGTAACAGATTTTACTTATTACATTTGAGGGATGTACAGATGTGCTGGGAAGCACATACAGTGTCATTTTCAGTTTTCTATAAACTATACCACTTCTCCAAAATTCATAATTTTCAAAAGACAATAGCAAAAAATTGTAAATTTTGTAATTTTCATAGTTGCGTTCAATCCTGGACAGATTGTCCTTGGTAATCGTTGGAATGTCCGCAAAATATTTGACCTTCAGGGATATCAAGTTGATCACTCAAAGATAAATTTCTTATACATGTAACCACTCACCCATTTTCATGTATTAGTAGTGTCTTATAATAATTATCTGTATATATACAGTATCTATCTATATCTATGTTGTGGTTTAAAATATTTCAAACCAGTTTGATTTTTATTTTCCTTTGTCTAATATTCATTACCATAATCTGAAACAAAGGACAATAAAAATCAAACTGGTTTGAAAAATTTTAAACCAAAAATAATTTGAACCACAACATCTACTGTACATGCACATGTAGTTTCACTCTACCTACAGTGGCTGTGTTGTCTGTGTTTTTTAGGAATTCAGTGCAAAAAGCTCACAATTTCAGATTCCGAAAAGACCTTCTGGTTCTCCAGATGACAAGGATAAGAAAGGGCAGCAATGGTTTGACTCGTCGTTTGACGAGGAAGTGGAAGAGCGGCATGGAAACTGTCAAACAAGGCCGCATAATCAGAAGCAAAGAAATAATGCAAACTATGCCAATAAACAAAAAGCTGCATGTATGGACTTTGAGAAGGGAATTGGATATCGAATTCGTAGGCAAGCGTTAATAACTCCCAAAAGACGATGGAAACATGCTAATCCTCCAGGAACATTGTCTCCTGGCCGGGGAAATAATGTGACATCTTCAGCAAGAGAGTCCTCCCCATACCAAGGTTTGTAATCAATAAATTCATACTATTTTTTTTATTATTCTCTATCTTTCTTTGTTAAGCTGAAGAAGACAAACTATTCATTTACTGATCAATCAATGTTAGTGACATATGTACTTGTACAGTGGAACCCTGTTAAGCCGACCACCGATGGGCCACCAAAATCTGGTTATATTAATTAATGGGGTGATCGTACTGACAGAACTTTAGTTCGGGACAAAAGAAAGTGGTCGTACATGTACAGTATTAATGAGGTGGTCGTATTAATAACATAAGGTAAAGCCACACTCGGACCAAACTGGCCCACACAGCTGGAGCTTATTCTGGTTTCTGTAGCATGAAGCCGACTAGGAGTATTGCTACTCCCCGTGGATGGGATGCTAGTCCATCGCATGTTTCCCCTCAGCATTTTGTCACTGGTACTGGGTTGAGAGAGGCACTGTGAGAATAAAGTATCTTGCCCAAGAACACGACACAATGACTCAGGCCAGGGCTCAAACCAGGACCGCTCGGTCCGGAGTCCAACGTGCTAACCATTAGGCCACTGCATCTAATCGTTGTATTAAAGGTGGGGTTCCACTGTAATGAACTTTATTATACGACATGGCATTTTAGAGTGCGAATACACACAAAGACGAGAGCAGATATGAGACCGTATTACACGGGTCTCAGTCCCCCTGACCGCGCGCTACGGAAAACACTGTTGAAAGCCTATATTTTAGGAAATATATTATGTCGTATAATAAACAATTTATTCAGCGGAAAGTTGTGTAATACGGCTGGGCATTTTTACTCGTCAGTGTTTATTTTTTCGAGCCTAAAGGCTCGAAAAAATAAAAACTGACTCGTAAAAATACCCAGCCGTATTACACAACTTTCCGCTGAATAACCTCTATATATTTTCTGGGGTGGAATCTACTGACAGGAGGTGTACATATTAGGAGAGGTTCAACTGCAAACTAGGCTAGACTATAAATTTCCATCTACAGTATCTAATATATTGTACTGACACTGTGGACAATATTTACATTTTTATGTCTTGCTATACAGTATATTTAAAACTCCAAAGTATTGTGATTTTTTTTAAATTTTTATTTAGGTTTTACATGTAGGTTTTGTGATTTACCTTTACATCATACATGTACAGTTTGATCGTCGGAGTACATTGTACATTATATATATGCATTATTTTGAAACACATTTAGTCAGAGTGATATACTGTAATAAAGGTTGAGTTAAAAAGGTCGCATTTTTTCATTGATTTCTTATTTTATTTACATGTACTTTACTTTTTCTGACCTGTTTACTTCTGTGATCACCCCATGATCATAGTTTTTCACAAAGCACCACACATTTCTCACACATGGTATTAAGGGCTTCAGAAATTTAACTGTAATATACTTGTACTTTAATTGCGATATATAATGTTACTTTGTATTAATTTTGCAGTTACAAATGCTCGTGTCCCTGAGAAATGCAATGGCCATGTGTCTGCAGACACTACAAAAAGTCATGTACAAAGAAATTGCAGCTCCTTGGATGAAGAGCAAAAACAGAATCTTTCAGTATTAGATCACATAATGACGGGCAAATCGGTAGCGGTCTGTGCGTACTCTGATGGCGATGACACTGGCTCAGATAGCAATTTCAGGAAAAAATCAAGACTTAGTTGTGTTGGCTCAAGGAACTCCAAGCTCATCAAAAGATTTACTGTCAGATGATAACTACGAGGATTGTTTTGGTGCTAGTTCCTGCAAGAAATGCAACAGGCTGTTACAGGACAAAAAAATGTCCAAATTGCGACAAAGACATTTTCCCTTCACAAGCTGCAACAACAAGGAAATCTCTTTCAGCAGAAACGATTTTATTCCAGTGACGACAGACAACCAAAGGTTCAACGAAAATACAGTAATAATAGATCACGTGGAAATGGAATTCCTAAGTTATTAGAGACAGGATCAGTAGCAAAGATGCCAGATGCTAACAAGCAGACGAAAAGAAGATGAAACAAGCCAGACAAGTACCACAGTAAAGAAAAGAAAGAATCAAGAAAAAGTAAGTTCAACTGTTTTTTGTTACAAGGTGCATGCATAGCAAGTGTGGTGAAAACACAGGAAACCAAAGCACTTTATAAGAGTTTACAAGTATGGATCTGAAATTTGATCGAAAATATTTTTCAATTTTCGTTCGAAAAAGTTGTAAAATGTAATGTGAATTAAAGGGTTAAAACCTCACCTGTTGTCTTTTCCTTTATTTACTTCTGGAAGGCTTCTGGAGAACATTTTTGGCGAGTTTTGTTTTGGGTGATTGTAACGTACTGGGTTCAACCAAACTCTTATACAGCGCTTTGGTTACCTGTGGTGAAACACACTCATCCTACCTTCTTACATGTTGTAGTGTACAATGTGGATTTTTTACTGTGAAGATTGACCACATAAGGAGATATTACAATGTAGCTGACTTTAATATGGAAAGAAATATTATTGTTAAGGAGCATGTAAAGTAACCATGAATGGCTTGGAAATATTTAATAATAATAATATATTTAAGCATTCCATATTGTCTCATGCTAAACAGTAACAAATAAATCAATAATGGAAACTATGCTATGTACAACATCGTCATGTTATAAAATGTAAAAATATTGAGCAAAAGATAAGTCTTTAAAGAAGTCTCAAATTTACAAAGAGTGTCATGAGATCTTATATACACACCGGTAGAGAGTTTCAGAGTTTTGCAGCTGCAACTGAAAACCTTCTGTCGCCATAGCTCTTTGTATTCAAGGCGGACCTGAGAGAACATCTAGGCTTATAAACCATTTATTTCAACCTTAGTTTGCAGTACAGCAGAAGCATACAGTACATGTACATTGTATGAGACAAATACAAATCAAACTGGCTTATAAAATTTCAAGCCAAACAAAAAAATTATTTACCACAACATATCAAGTAGAGTACTGTAATATACTTGTACATGTATGTATGTAGTGTGCATATGATGACTGTTATCTTTGGAGATGTGAAAACAAACCCTGTCAGTGGAGTGCCCTTTGTTGACTACTGTACATGGTGTAGAATTGCACAAAATGTCTTCATAAATGCTATATATGCTAACAAATAGATTTATTTTCCTTTTCTTTCATATTATTCAAGTCAAACAGTGAAGACTCTGATTCAGGTAAGGGTCTTATTTTCCCACTTGTAACAGTATTCATATTTGGGTTTTTATTTTTGAAGCCTAAAAATACACTGTATATGTGATGGTTATACGCCCCCTAATTTGTAAGCCCGCTTGGTTTATAAGCCATGTCAGTCTGATACATGGTAGTTGCCGCTCTCGGGGTTGCCATGGATACCTGCACGCTCTGCTCGAATCATGCGTGGATCCACCATATCAAGGCACCTTCCCCAAGCTCATCTATTGGTGACGAGTTTAATTAATAATTGTATGCAACATAGAAAGATATTATTTAGTCAGTGACACAAGCCTACTCAGAAAAAAAAATCTGAGTTCCCCCCAACAGGAGTCAAACTTATGACCTTCGCACACCAGTAGGATGCTCTACCACTGAGCTACAGGAGACTCATGTCACTGACGGAATAATATCTTTCCTCATACAGTAAAAGCCCACGTATAAGAAACTGTGGATTAAGAACACGGCAGGCTGAAATTGGCAAATTAAAGTATAAGAACCACTTCAGCCTGACTTTAAATGAAGGCGCACAGGTAAAAAATTAGTAAAACTCAGAAAACACAGGCTTAGACCAAAGTGTGCTTTGGAGGTCCATAATCACAATGTACAGGACTAATTTGTTACTGAAGATCGATGCTATATATTATAGAATAGATTTAAGGGGATATGTCCCATATTGAATTACTTTAAATAATGGAACATAAATTCACATAACAGCAAAATGTCATTTACATGTAAAATTGTCTAGACAGTGTGCTTAGTCAAACAAGTTTCATTGTGATTCTCCTTGAATTGAATGTACAGAACAAAGACCACAAGTGAAAAAGAAACGAAGTGGGAGACAAACAAAGCTTGCTATACCAAAAAAAGGTTGGTTATACCATTTTTTTACTTATAATGCACTGTAAAGTGCTCGAGACACATGTACATACTCTTCAGAAAAGCTGCAGTCATAAATCTTTAAAGTGAAAATTTTAATTTAACCCTTTTCACTCCCAGAGTCAACATTGAGTCAATAAATGTGGTTGTACCCTTGTGTGTGAACCATTCAAATGAAAGCTATGGAGCAGTACTTTCAAGTGGTACTGTTTGTTTTTGACAATTTTGCAAAATGAAACTCAAGATTTTCCCTCAGTTTTGAACTTAGCACTCTTGGGAGTGAAAGGGTTAACATAATCCTTTATTTATTTTTTTGATCAACTTGTTCTTTTCAGTCGATGTCATAACTTTGGTCAGATGAAGAAGAGAGTATAGGTGGGTCAAATTTAATCAATGCTTCAAACATTTACCATTTCACTTGATACAGTACATGTAGCAGTGTAGTAGCGAATTCCACAACCAGAGCTATAATAAGAAACAAAAAGTTACAGTACGCTTGACCATCCCACTAATGTTCACAATCCTTGTGGTCAACAAGAATCACAACCTTGGGCTGGACTTAATTTTTTGAGCTTGCGCAGAGTACAAATTTTCTCTTGTCTTTATTTTACCAGTCTATCAGATTTAAGGAAACCAGAGATCACAATTCGTGGTGCTGACCAAGAACCTTGTGCTGATTTTGCCTTTGATTTGACAAATTAATTAGAAAGTTCTCTTATACTGTTATAACTAACAGTAATAATTATTACCAGATTAGGAAAGTGCGTTCGACTCTCTGAATGGCAATAAAATGGTCGGTATGGCTGACCGATATAACACTTCAATTATATTTTCGAAATAGTTCCATATATTTGACAGTGTACTAAATGTACAAGCACCACTATACAGTTACATTCAGTTTTTACTGGATAATTTGTTTAATATATTAATTAGCACAATGACTATGTTCACTGTTCAACAATTCAGTACAGATATAGTCCCTATTTTTTTCGTTGTGTTCCGAAGGCTGACTTACTGTATCAGTAAGTACATGCATATACAATAAACAGTTGCTTGTGTGTTCCAAAGTGTGTTTGATTGATAACCCGTGCATTTAGGATATGATCGATCTACTTCGGATCAGTTTATCAAAGTAATATGTGATTCGCAGGTCCTCGTTTAGCTGGGATAACCAGCGAGATCTGTAAGAATGTTGTGATATGTTGTACGCACAATGAAGAAAAGAGGAGGAAAGAAAGAAATATAAGAACAGGAGGTGGGTGGGGTGGTTGGTGGAAAGGAGGCCAGAGCCATTGCAAAGTGGACGCAAAAAAGTGGGCGCAAAAAAGTGGACGCAAAAAAGTGGACGCAAAAAAGTGGACGCAGCCAAAGTGGATGCACCAAAGTGGACGCACCAAAGTGGATGCAAAAAAGTGGATGCACCAAACTGGACGCACCAAAGTGGACGCACCAAAGTGGATGCAAAAAAGTGGACGCACCAAAGTGGACGCACCAAAGTGGACACACCAAAGTGGACGCAAAAAAGTGGACGCACCAAAGTGGACGCACCAAAGTGGACGCACCAAAGTGGACGCACCAAAGTGGACACAAAAACGTGGACGCACCAAAGTGGACGCACCAAACTGGACGCACCAAAGTGGACGCACCAAAGTGGATGCAAAAAGTGGACGCACCAAAGTGGACGCACCGAAGTGGACGCAACCAAGTGGACGCACCAAAGAGGATGCACCAAAGTGGACGCACCAAAGTGGACGCACCAAAGTGGACGCAAAAAAGTGGACGCGCCAAAGTGGACGCACCAAAGTGGACGCAAAAAAATGGACGCACCAAAGTGGACGCACCAAAGTGGACGCAAAAAAGTGGATGCACCAAAGTGGACGCACCAAAGTGGACGCAAAAAAGTGGACGCACCAAAGTGGAACGCACCAAAGTGGACGCACCAAACTGGACGCACCAAAGTGGACACAAAAAAGTGGACGCACCAAAGTGGACGCAAAAAAGTGGACGCACCAAAGTGGACGCACAAAGTGGACGCACCAATTGGACGCAAAAAAGTGGACGCAAAAAAGTGGACACACCAAAGTGGACGCACCAAAGTGGACGCACCAAAGTGGACGCAAAAAGTGGACGCACCAAAGTGGATGCACCAAAGTGGACGCACCAAAGTGGATGCAAAAAAGTGGACGCACCAAACTGGACGCACCAAAGTGGACGCACCAAAGTGGATGCACCAAAGTGGACGCACCAAAGTGGATGCAAAAAAGTGGACGCAAAAAAGTGGACGCACCAAAGTGGACGCACCAAAGTGGACGCACCAAACTGGACGCACCAAAGTGGACGCACCAAAATGGATGCAAAAAAGTGGACGCAAAGAAGTGGACGCACCAAAGTGGACGCACCAAAGTGGACGCAAAATAGTGGACGCACCAAAGTGGATGCACCAAAGTGGACGCACCAAAGTGGACGCAAAAAAGTGGACGCACCAAAGTGGACGCACCAAAGTGGACGCACTAAAGTGGACACACTAAAGTGGACGCACCAAAGTGGACGCACCAAAGTGGTCGCAAAAAAGTGGACGCACCAAAGTGGACGCACCAAAGTGGACGCAAAAAAGTGGACGCACCAAAGTGGACGCACCAAAGTGGACGCACCAAAGTGGATGCACCAAAGTGGACGCACCAAAGTGGACGCAAAAAGTGGACGCAAAAAAGTGGACGCACCAAAGTGGACGCACCAAAGTGGACGCACCAAAGTGGACGCACCAAAGTGGATGCACCAAAGTGGACGCACCAGACTGGACACACCAGACTGGACGCACCAGAAACACAGAAACGCTCGCCTATTCGTATCGGCTCGTGTTTCTCCCTGCACCACCACCAAAGTGGACGCAAAAAAGTGGACGCACCAAAGTGGACGCACCAAAGTGGACGCACCAGACTGGACACACCAGACTGGATGCACCAGAAACACAGAAACACTCGCCTATCCGTATCGGCTCGTGTTTCTCCCTGCACTTCTTTTGTGCTTGCACCGCTTCCTGCATGCTATATATAAACAGAACTGCACAGTTGAGGCTTTTTTATTATTTTGTTTATCAATAACACTTGAAACACACTTGCTACATGTCAATAGAGCAAACGATTTAACAGCATTTAACCAAGGCATAACAGATCTGAAAAAATAAGTGCAATCTATATGTAAACTTCTAGTAACAAACTATAATGAAGTAGACAGAGATGCCTTTGAATGGTTCTTGAATAACTTACAAACTCTTAAATAGTCTTAATAATCCCAGAGGATTCCTCACACCTTGTATACATAGCACAATACATTCTTGCACATACGTACACTTGTGTAATTAGCAAACTGTTACAAAATACAGTCGAACCTCCCGTAAGCGGACACCCTCAGGACTAGAAAAAGTGTCAGCTTTAGAGAGGTGTCCGCTTATGGGAGGTTAAAAATGTAGTGTTTGTATGTAGCTGGGAACATGACCAAGTGTCTGCTTACGAGAGGTGTCCACCTACAGGTGGTTTACATTAGCGGAGGTTTGACTGTACAGTAAAAACCCGCAAGTAAGAACCTGCATTTTCCCAAGTTAGCCTAAACAGGTTCTTACATAAATGGTAATTAGCACAAATTTAGGCTATTTAGGTTCTTAAATAGGTTCTTATTTTCTGAAGAAAAAAATTACATTGTAGCTAATAGAATTTAGTGGTATTCAGCCTATTCCTTATATAAAATCTGCATACCAAGTAAGTATTTATGTAAAAATGACTGACTGTGTCTCCAAAGAGGATCCAAAATGTTGACCTATCTTATTTGCCCAAGTGTACACATTTTTTTATATAGATTTTAGAAAATAAGAACCTGTTTCAAATTGTAGGCTAAACAGGTTCTTGTATAGAGGGGGTCTAACTGGCAAATTTTAGCCTAACAGGTTCTTAAAAACTAGGTTCTTACTTGCGGGTTTTTACTGTATATTTGATTATTTTCCTGGTTTTGTTTTGTTTTACATATGGTAGAAGAAATGACGGAGCTGGTAGTTGAAAAGTCTAAGTCTTCTGAAAAGAGCCTGCCAGTTCCAGTGTTACTGTCATCCCAGAATCACCAGTTAACCAGGAGAAAGCTACTAAACAAAGTGTTGTGGAGTCCAATTCTGAAAACAGTCCAGAGACAGCAGGCCAAACGAAAGACACCACCATCAAAGGTACATACAAGTCATGTATCGTCATGAGATGCTCATACCCAGGGTGGGGGGGGGGGGGGGGGGGGGGGGGGGTGACTTTGATATAAAAGTGACGTGGGTGGTTTGGTACCGCTTAGGGTGTTAAAATCTAAAATGACTTCCACTAGAGTTATTCCGGAACCTTTTAGGGTATTAAGCCGGAAAAAATATGTCAGGTACTAGTTTTGTCATTAGAATAATTGGTACCTCTTAGGGGTGAAAATGAATTTGAGCCACACCCGGCACCCACACCACAAAACGAAATTCTGGTGCCTTTTAGGG